TAATAATAATAATCTCCATTAGACGAAAATTTACAAAAAGAAAAAAATTGGAATGTATCGTCACCAGGGGGAAGTTTCCGAAATCTGCATTTTCCAGCGCTCATTCCAGTAGATAAAAGCAGAAACACCCCATAGGAAGAATGGAAAGCAAGACGTCTGTGTAACACCAGTTCCTTTTTTAAAAAGCTTTTTTAATTGGATGTAATTGTGTTTTTTAAAGGACTGTTTTTAAATTCTGGCGGCATGTAGCCTATAAAGGAAGGTCTGTCGCCGTGAATGTGAAGTCTGGAACACGAAAAATAAATGGTGGCCCCCTTTTTGGGCAGACTGTCTTTAATTAATAATAATAATCTCCATTAGACGAAAAATTTACAAAAAGGTTTCATTTTATTCAGGTTCTGTTTTAGACAGATTTTACTATATTTGTATTTTTCATGTATTAAGTAAAAAACTTTTAGAAAAGAAAAGATTAAAAGAATTTTAGCAATACTTGTATTATATTTAATGAAGTTTAATATAAAGTATTTAATCAATAGGAAGAGTTAAATGATATAAAAATAGTATCATATTGAAAATTTAATCCCGCTGCAGAAAAAAATGATCAATGATATAATTTTTTGAATGTTTTATGATTTGTTTTAGTGATTTTGTGATATTAAATTAATTAATTAGTGTTATTTTTATTTTCAAATGTTCAATAATTACAAATTTTTATAAAATGAAAAAAAAGAATGCACAATAAATATTTCGGATATACATTGAGAAAGAATCAGATGATATAAATTTTTGATAAATCAAACAAAACTCAGCAGTTTACTATGTGGAATTTATTTATTGATATATTAAGTTACTGCATAAAAAAATTTTTGAGTCATACTTTTGGCAGTTTTATAAAAAGTCTAGTTAAGTAATCAGGCATCCAAATAAAAAATTACTGGTTTAAATCGTTTCAAATATGAAAATTCCAGTAAGAAAAATATTACAAATCTGTATATTGAGAGAATATATTTTTGAAATTGGTTTCATTACTGTAACAACCTATGTTTCTTAACTTTAGTCTTTGTATTACACAGATTTATGATATTGTTTTTCACTGATATTTAAAATTATTAAAACCATGCATTATATTTATTGAAAAGTGTCAATGCATACTGTATTTTTTGAAGAAGGCTGGTTTTAATTTTTATTGTCTAGTCAACACAATGACATCATCTATCAACAATCTCTATTATTTATGATTTTTCAATAAAAATACACTTTGTAAAAGACAAGTTTTTAAAACATCTTTTTTATATACTATTTCCTGTCTGTTTTTCAATATTCACTTAAACCTTCTTATTTCTTTTTGTGACAATTTTTATTAAATGAATGTAGAGATGATCTTAAAATAATCATAATCATAAAAGTTTTTATAAAATACCTGAAAGAAGAAATAATTGATAATCATCATTTTTAAGGATCATTTTCAGTATTATATTTTAAAACTAGTTATGCTTATACAGTAGTGAGTGATTTTCTTTTCTTCAGAAGTTAAAATAACAACAAGACTGCATTAAGCAGAGTTTTATTGTTTATATTTCATGCAAACATCAACAAAGCTGAATTATTATTTTTCAATTTTAATTTTTAAGTAAATAAAATTTATTTTTATTTTTCTAATACAAATAAAACATACCTATGAATACAACTAAGTAGAAACAGACTTTTTAGTGAAAAAATATCCATAAATAAAATTAAGAAAGGCACAATTTGATAGCTGTAGTAATTTTCATTATCCATTTCCTCATTTTTTGCTTATTATTGATATTCACTTACAATATTTATATTTGTTTTGATTTGAAAAAATAGTGTTTCAGGAATTTTTTTTTTACTTTAATGAGAAACAAAAAAATTTATTTCCATTTTCAATATTTAAAATTATAGCTGTTAAGTAACTTAATGTCATTTCTTAGAATCTACATTATTTAAAAATTAGAAGATGAAGATATTCTAAAAGTGTCTGATTTTAGATTTGTTTGATGTCTCTCTTACAATAAAACTTTCTAAAATGAGTGTTCTGAAATTATTTATTTTAAAAAGTTAAACAAGTAGATAGAAACAGTTTCAATTGATTGCAAATTAAAGCACAAGCATAATTGCATACTAGGATGGTTAAAAATTTATATATAAGTATAGGTAATTATTGTAAATTTGTGAGTAAATATGTAAATGCAAAATACCTTTGTAACCGAATGTTGTTTCTTTTTCTCCTGGGCATGAATGGTAGAAAGTTTTGTAACCGTCAGCTTTTGATTATCTAGGGAACCGTCGCCTTTTCCGTATCCCGACGTGCTGTGCGTTTGTACAGTTGCTGCATTTCCACCATTGCCATTTGCCACAGATGCAGTCTGAAAAATATAATCACTTTGAATAAAAGATACTTTGTTAAAAAAATATATTGATTGCATACAACAGTTATGAAATATAGTATTCATAGAGTAAGCAAAATCAGAAGAAGATATAGAACAGATTAAAATACACTTAATTCAATATACTGTCTACAAAATTTTATATATAGGCTTTATGCAAGTCCTTGAAAACAAAATATGTGGATGTATTTTTTTCTGCTAGGGCAATAATCTTAAAGAAATAATCAATGAGAGGCATTGTGTTATCTAGCACAATTTAATTTGATGTACAGAAGTTGATTCATGAAGAATTTCTGATGGTGCAAAAATTGCAAACCAAACATTACTGTTTGACGAAATCATAAGAAAACTTGGACAAAAATAAATATTTTAGGATAAACAGATTTTTATTGATTTTATTTTTTATATGTGATTTAGTTCTATTTATTCAGACAAATTGTGTGTGTGCTGTAGTGGGAAATTTAGAAATCCACTCTGATCTGCAATACATTTTAAAGGTTAAGAAGCTAGATTTATTGTCAAATGTTGTCATAAAACAAAAATAACAATCTGAAAAATATCTTATGACATTTATACTTCTATATAAAAGTATTAGACATCTATTATTATAATCCTGGTAATGTTTAATTAAATAAAAAATACAAAGAACTAAAATAAAATTTTTTGGTTAGTTTTGTTTTACAGTTAACTCTTAATGAAATGAATTTGAACCTTCCTCAACTATACGAAATGTAACAAATCTAATCTGGTTGAAATGTGGGACATTCTAGATCAAACTGCCACTAAATCTTTCAGTATTCCAAAATGCAACAAGTCATCAAAAAACATCTTCAAATTTCAATCATCAGTATCCAGAAAACTATTTTAAATACAGTAGAGCCTCGATTATCCGACCCAATTGGGGACTGGGGTTGGTCGGATAATTGAAAAGTCGGATAACTGAAAAGTATGAAAAAATCCATTATTAGTGTAGTATATTATTATATCCCATGTAATTAGTATATTAGTATACCGCTATTAACCTACTTCGCGTTGAATTTTCATCGATGTTAATCCTAACAAAAATTTTTTAAAATAATAGTCGTCGCTATTGTATCATTGAAAGTTAGAAAATTAAGCCTCGTTTAAATACTGGCTCCCTTTCATGGTCGAATGAGTGTTGCCAGTTAAAACACGTAAAAATAATATTAAAGTAGCCAAGACATAGCCAAATATTGCAGCGCCATATCACTAGCGGACATTTGAAATTTGCCGACTAGGACGGTTGGTTAACCGAGGTGTCGGTTGATCGGGGGTCGGATAATCGAGACTCTACTGTAATTCTCTTCCATCATTATTACTTTTTTATTATTAATAAATTCATGAAAAAATTCTTTTTGTGACACAAAACTGCTAACATTAAATAGGTATTTATCAATATTAAATTTTAAGCTGATTTTTAAACCAGTCTCAAACAGAATCAAAAAGAAATACAAAAGTATAGAAATATTTATTAAATTAGACTAGAAACAGGCTTATATCTGACTGAGACACTTTAAGATGTCAAACAATGAATTAACTTTTATATATCTGATCAGAAATAGATCTTCATTTGTCATGTATTATTACTATGGTTGTTGGTTTTTTCATAGCTAATCCATGCATCAAACATGTTTTATTCCTCTAACGTAGTATGGCAATCATAAATAATCTTAGCATTGTAACTAAGCCTGAATCTTTCAACACATTTATAATACTAATATATGTTCACTATCAGTGAGCAAAGTTTTTGTTCTTGGTTATTATCTATATTTGCCTTCACTATTTCAGTTTTACTTAGAATAGCATACTTCACAAGCTTTCAGTTTGTATTGTTTAGTTCACTCTTTAACTATTGTCTTTCTAATCATCACTTCTATTATTAAAAATAAATAAATAAATAAAAAGACTGTCAAAATGAATGGACACAGATTCTTTTCCCCATGTATTACAGACAATACTTTTTTCCTTAAACTATTCCATTGATAATGCACTGATTTGAGTTATATAAAACTACTACTATTTCTTTTCCTCTAGTTACACAATATACATATCTGCAATGTCTTAAGTGATAAAACAAGAGCATAGTTTAATTAATTAAAAATTTAACGAGTCAGTAATATTTTCCTTAGCAACCTAAATATTAAAATAATCTTACATTCTCTTTACAAATAGTTATTCTACACACATTAAATACTCAAGTATTAAATCACGTAAAAGATCACACAACTAACTTTAAAAAGAAATCCTATATTTTGAACCTGTATTTTGCAAGGAAATTATTAAATCTAATTATTATAAAATTATGGCCATCTGATATTTTTGATTCTTTTTAAAGGCATTTTCTTTTTAGAATAGTATGTAAGAAAACTAAATACACCTCAATGTATTTTAAAAAATGTCCACTGACATTTTCAATTGCATTATTATTATTTTTTAAATTAAGATATTAAAAGAAAATTACTTTCAATATCTCAAAAACACAAAGGTCAATTTATAGACTAAATAGTTTTACATTTAAGTAAAACTGTTCATTTAAGAAAACATAAAAATGTACAAGAACAGCTTTTAACACTTACAAATTTTGAATACATTTGAATTGCATTTAAAAGTTTTTAAATCAAATATTTAAGTTAAACACACCCAATCTGAATATTTTACATAATAAAATAAATTCTACAGAAGTCATTTTATCTTGATTTAAACTTAATTTTAAATTTTTCAGTCAATTAAATCTCACATTTGCCAATATTTTTGCCTTTTCTTGAAATTTAAAATTTTATTGCTGTTTCAATTACTNCTTGTTTGTATCCTTGCCCAATTTGCACAATCTGGTACAATGCAGTTATTCAAGCTACTGGGCATGGTTAAAAATTAAGACAGCAAAAGCACAATTATTCCAGATATTACAGATTCTGAAAAGTAAAGAATTTTCAGAGTCCTGCCACAAATACGCTACACATTGATTATTAACAATCTGTGACATGTCATAACAAGCAAAAATTTTAAAAATGAATAAGCAGGCTTAAAATTAATAAATACAAATGTATTCTGACAGTTTATGAGTTAAATATACATTCTATTTGCAAAATTTCCTCAACCTTAACACAAAATAAGAAAAAAGTAAACTTTTAAGAAATATGTGGGACTTCCAAGGATGAAAAGAATATCCCAGGTTAAAAGAACAGCCAGGATCTCATTAGAAAAACCCTATTTCTAATCAACAGATTTTTATGTATTAATAAATTAATGCATTTATTAAAATTTCTGTTACTTATAAAAAGTTAAAAATGTTCATAAACCATTGTATCATCAAAAACAGATTTTAAATTTGTCTGAATTCCATTTTTATTCCTTTTTTATGTTAGCCTGAAGAAGTTCTTTAATAGAGCATGAAAATACTTCCATATTTTCTTAAAATTTTATGATTTAATATTGCTTTATTTATTTTTCTGCTATATTTCAAATCTACAGCTCTTAAATTATATTGCCGGTTACAGTAACTGTTATAAGTCTGAAATTACATAAAAAATTTAGTTAAATCATCCTTCATTTAAGTATGTGTAATTATTATTTTTACATATTTTTAAATAGCAAGTAAATGAATATGAATGTCATGGAATTAAATATTTCTTTAGAACCTGATATAAATTAATCTCTATAAAAATGCATTTTCCTTAATTTTTCTAAGCTTGTGCTAGTTTCAAATATGCTAATTCAGATAGTGGCTTTAATAATATTTAGAATCTATATTCATAATCCACAATCCAAAGTCAGAGTCATCAGTTAACTAATTAATATTTATTTTACTTTCAGTATGTGAATGATTATTAATTTATTTCTAATTCCATCCCTCGACCAAAGACTGCAAATGTAGATATTAAATATTATCAAAGCTTGTTAGTTATATACATATGAAATGTATAGGCTGTTAAGTCAATTTAAATCAAACATGATATAAGTTATTTATAATCAGTCAAATATTTTATGTAATTTCTATAACTTTAGTATATTGTATAAAATAAAAATATATTATATAATAATTTTGTAAAAGTTTTTTGCATCAATATATTATTAAAAATATAATCAAATCTGTTAAACTCAAAATCTGAATTTTCAGATTTTAATTTTTAAACCTTTTTACTAAAATATATTAAATATAATAATATTGTATAAAAATATTTTCTGGTTCTTAGAAAAATGAGAATAAGAACCTCATTTTCTTTGCAACATCATATTATAGTAGAACCGGTTATTGTTGCTAAACCAAATTCATCAATCATCATTGTAAGAATAATCTGTCTTTGATTGTTTTTATCAGTTATTCTGAAGACGTAAAATTGACATCTTTTAAAATATTGAAATTTATTTGAGTTTTGAGACAACTGTGCTCACATAATATTTATTTTAATAGCTTAAAAAAATAAAAATTACTTTAGATTTTCCCGTATGATCAGGAGATGGTCTAGTCTTTATTGGGGTACCAAATATATCGGTAAAAGGTTGACTAATCCTTGACACACTCGTTTGATTTTTTAATTCCTAAAGAAAGAAAAATAATAATAATAAAGATGCAAAACTGAAGAAAAAAATCATTCAAATAAAAACTGATATTCAAAATGAATGCTATATTTAATAATGTCATAATAAAAGAGCAAAATAATATCTATAAATACATATAAACAAACATTTAAAAAAAAAAAGACCATATAACATGCATTTAAAAAATTAAAGAGAAATAAATTTAATTTATTGATAAATATTATAAATCAATTAAAAATAAAAATAATAGAACAAAGACTGGAAAATGTGTTTGACAAATTATTAATGTGGATCTGCATGCAATAAAATTGAAGTATAAGTTTTATAATATCAAACTTTGTGTTAAAGCATCCATTTTTTTATGAAATGCTGCTGTTCATTATTCTTCTATGGAAAAAAAACAAATAATGATAATTCAA